TTCATCCTCTAGGTTAGTTTTTAATAAGAATTTGTCTAATTGGCAGTCGGATAGTACCTAGTCACTTTATATTTATCATTTATACGCATTTTAATAGCTATATATATAGTTCATATTATTTAATTCATTTTTAAATATATCACATATTATATATAAATCTCTTTCTTATGAAGTACGACTTTCATGTAAAGAAGTGTATGACACTTATGAAACTATCGTCCTCAAATAAAGGTGCATTCATTCTCTCTGTCATGCATCTCAGTTATCGCGAAGCTTTCGAAAATTCATTTTACTAACACATTAAAATCTACAATATGTAAAGGTCGATTCTCACACGCAAATTCCCGTAACCCAATGAAGCAGTATATTTATAGTCATTTTATTTTCTCAAAGAGGTCGTTTGACATAGTGGGCGAATTGTAGAATCTTTATTCTTTACGTTGTGATGATATTATATAATCCATTGGCCATCTTCATAGAGTCAGGCACGGTAGTCAAACCAAATAGTTAACTGAAATCTGAAGGAAATTAATAATTTCTATTTTTAGCTTTGGCGCAATGTTGTCCAATTTATAATTTAGACCACGTGTGTCATTCTCTTGAGAATAAGAATCTTTGTTTGAGTTGTATCTCTATATCCATGTGACTGTCTTCTCATGCGCAACCGTTAAACAAAGAAATGATATACTCTATGAAATGACGCATATCTTGTAATGGGGAAACATTGCGCCCAAGAAATCTATTTTCACTGAAATGGAAATGATCACCAAAGCTCAACTTAGAGCAGTTTTCGCATGCTTTCTAGAATTTTGATTGGCTGATTTTTTCTCGCGCACGTACTTGGTTTGACAGTGCCATGACCTTGGCGTGACCGTGTCTGCGCCGCGTTATGCCGTGTTACGGGTATTTGATTGGATGGAGCATAAATTCTTGAGCAATGTGATAGGTCTGGCGTATCCCTTGCCGTGTCTCGGTTGTGTTCATGGCGTGAGAATTTTACAGTTATACTCCAACAAGAAAAGGCACGGTACGTTCAAGGTTCGGAGCTGAAATCTGATGGACTGTTTTTGTTGATATCAAAATAGATTTTCTTTCGATTTTTATTCCCGTATTTAGCACGTAGGACACATAAGTGGTTTACTAAAGTATCATAAGCAAACAACTATAGCTAGAAAGAAGGAAGCAAGGAAGCAAGGAAGCAAGGAAGCAAGGAA